TCCTCTGCCCGGCATCTACAAGTGACACCTGAACCCTAAACCCGGGTTCTCAAAATTCCAACAAGGAATTGATTATTGATCAAACAGGGTCGAAGCACTCCCTGTAGCACAATCTACTCCATATGCATGATCAGAGGGCCCCCTTACTAGAATTGTTACCTTCAACGATCCCAAATGCATTGCAGACATCTCCAACACTGTACCTACGCTCCATGAGTCTAACACTAGTATGTGAACACGGTGAATCCGCTGTAATTGGTAGCAAAGCAAAATCACCATCGCTCCCTTGAGCAATGTTCTGAACTGACCCAGAGTTTGTCACAAGAGGAACTGTACCAAATTGAATTTCCACCACGGTACTGAACTTGTCCAAATGTCTCTTAACTGGTTCTGCGCTCCCCTGCAAGATGTACAAATGAGACTTCATCCGTCCTTCCAGTACAACCTGAGCACCCTTTCGGACCTTCATTGCTCCACCTCCACCAGAGAATTTATACCCTTTTGCATCCAGGGTACTTAGTGAGATGAGATTCCTTGACTTTTCAAGTCTGGAACATTACGAACATGATCAAGTGTTCTGATTGTCCCATCCTGCAACCTCAATCTGACCCGACCGATCCCAGCAACCCGGCAAGATTAGTTGTTTCCCATGATAACTCCACCTTGCTTCACCGCCTCATATGTTTGAAACAAGTCCCGATTGGGACACATATGGTGCGGACATGTCGAATCAAGAATCCACTCCTCGTTAGGCTTGGACTCCACGTCAGATACCACGGTCACCATCACATCACCGCCATCAGATAAATACTCGATAAGGTTAGCATCATCCGAATTAGAAGATTGCCCCCTATTATTTGTAACTAAATTACCTTTAGCCTGCAACTTGTCGTAAACCCTCTTGACATGCCATTTCTTCTTACAGTAGAAGCAATACACATTGTTGAAGTTCCCTTTCGGTCTACCCCTCCGTCGATCACCATGAGAAAACCAGAGCGTCCACATCCCTTGATGTAGTAGCTCCAACCAAATGCTTCATCTTCTCCTTTGAGAATAAAGCATCGTAAGCATCTTCAATTGTCAACGTGTCACGACTGTACAAGATCGTGTCCCGAAACGACGAATAAGAAGCGGGTAGAGAACATAACAGGATCAAGGTCAGATCCTCCTCATCATATTTTACCTCCAACGTTTTCAGATCTGCAACAATTTCCTTGAACACAGTCAAGTGGTCTTCCAGTGATCCTCCTTCTACCATGCGATGAGAATATAGCATTTGCTTTAGATGCGGTTTGCTCGTGAGACTTTTGGTCATGCATAACTGCTCCAGTTTCAACCACAAAACAACAGCCGTTTTCTCTTTCAAGACATCCTGCAAAATATTATTGGAGAGATGAAGATAAATCTGCGATAAAGCCTTCTTGTCTTTCCGTTGTTTCTCCTCTGTTGTCGAGTTTGCTAGCATTTGATCAAAACCCAGCAGAGCATCGTCCAAATCCATCTGCGCCAACACAGCCCTCATCTTTACTTGCCATAGCGAAAACCTTGTATTGCGATCCAGCAGTGGAATATCATATTTTAATGAAGTCATCTCTGAAAGATCTCAATCAAATCACAAAGAACCAGCAACCTTGACTCTGATACCACTTATTGGGAAAAATCGTCTCGAACGCAGGAATTGAGATTAATGACAAATTAAAATAACAAAGATCACAAGAAAAAAAAAAGATTAAAGTAAAGAGAATAGAGGAAAAATTGGCAGAGGAACCAATGTTTTATTCATAACAATGGAGAGAAAATTACGAGAACCAAGCAATAATGGCTTAACTAAACTGAATGGAGGAGACCTATATTTATAGTACACGAACAGAACCCTAGGAACATGTCAAGATAAGGAAATAATGAAGAAACCGTGTAAAAAGGAAAAATTGCACCGCCTTCATTAAGAGCAACCATGCCAAAACAAATTTCCTTGCCTTAATAAACTTGGATTCTTTTGATTCCTTTCCAAGCTCAATTCAACACGTTTTCCTTCATATGGTAACTCCCAATTTGGGTCACAATCCCAACAATATTCAAGTTCTTGAAGTTTTATTTCTGTCTTTCAAGAGGCATTCATTTATGGCATGTTTATTAAGGTTATAGGCCAATACGGACAATACTAAGGAAGAAAAATAATAAAAGGTTCAGTCTATTTTATCGTCCAATACCGTTCATTACTGTGTCCCAAACATGCCGTTAAGATTTTGCTTCTTGGAAGTCATTGTTGGTTTTCTGCAAAGACGTCTTTAAGTTGCTTCTCGTGTTGCTGTGTTGGGGATTTTCATGGCATGTTCTGGTTTCTGGTTAAATGAGGCATATATTACTAACAAATATACACAGCCAAAGATATTGACAGACCAAACAAGCTACATTTAGATACTTGACTCTTAATAATTTTTGGCTATTCCAAAACGGGATTATCTGCCGACTGTCATTGACAGACCAAGCAAGCTATAGTTAGATACTTGAATCTTAATAATTTTTAGCCGGTTCCAAAACAAGATTATTTGCCTACTGTTTTTGACGACTTCAATGCCAATGTGGTTGTGGATGGTAGAACCGTTAACCTGGGCTTATGTATTAGCAGCAACAAATCTTGACAAAAATATATGATGGAGGAAAGTAAGGAATCGTTGAAGACAAATTGATCAAAATGATTNAAATTGATGAAAATGATTGATGATTATGATGATGTGCTTAATTTTAGGAATTGTTATTTATCTTTACATATTTAGGTTATTGAGTTGTACTATATATTGATATTTTCTCAATGAATAAAATGACAACTTCCATTTCTATCATCTCCAAAATTTCTTCTTGGTATCAACTTTTTCATTTTCTTTTTCTTTTAGTTTTTTTTCTAAAATGCTTGTCCATCAATTTTCTTCTCCTTGTCATCATGATTTCACTTTCCTACACATAACAATTTGATTCTCACTCCTCTCAAGTTATCTTCCACCATATATATCATTCAAGATCCAGACAATACAAATCAATATCCTACCTGCACCAAATTCAAACGACACAGCAACAACAAAAATTCGTACCAAAAATCAACGTATGAATCCATTTTGTGAACAAACTCTCAAAGACACAACACATGCAATGGGATACACAAGATTCGCAAAAAGCGAAATCACACCACCACAACATGTGACATATCTTCACAAAAATGAAGATTTACAAAAATGGTGATTTTTTTCACAACATTAGTATCCAAAACAACTTTTATTCATTTTTGTAACAAACTTTGCCTTCAACCCTGGCAAAGTTTGAGGGAGGGTATTAGCAGTAACAAATCTTGACAAAAATATATGATGGAGGACAGCAAGGAATCATTGAAGACAAATTGATCAANAAGCACAGAATCGTTGAAAACAAATTGATCAAGATAATTGATAATTATGATGATGTGTTTAATTTTAGGAATTATTATTTATCTTTATATATTTAGTTTATTGAGTTGTACTATATATTGATGTTTTTGCAATGAATAAAATGACAACTCCCATTTCTATCATCTCCAGAATTTATTCTTTATGTTATCTTGCACGTAATTTCGATATATATTTTTTGTTTATGTGGAAGTGAGAAACTTCCCTATGTTCTTTCAGACGGATTACAATAGATTAAGACCCTCAAGCTATTGCGGAGCAGATGTTTTTTTCTTGCATTTTTCTCTCATTAGCAAGGCCAGCTATGAAAATATTGCAAAGAAGGTTAGAAGTATAGGATTGTCTGGTTTCACATACAATTGTGTGTAATAATCTGACACCTGTTTTTTGTGTCTATTTTTCTCAAATTTTTAGTGGATTCCAGTTGAGACACTATGCATCAGGTGTTGCTTTAATTCTTGTGGGAACAAAGCTCGATAAGATTTCCCTATTCTTGCGATACATTTTCATTTCTTTTAAGACTTTGTTGGTTTCATCGTGGTCATTCATCCAATTTAAGGAACGGAGATGGGTTGTTAAAGTTCTTGGCCTCATAAAGCCCTTTTGCAGGTTGTGTCGTAAGGTATTCATTTGTGTTTAGAATAGGTAGTGCCAGATTGACTGAACATCGAACAATGAGTTTTTGAGGCTCAATTGTACCTAGAGATGTATGCCTTTCCCAATTCCTGATTAACCTTATAGCTGACACTGGAATGAGAATGCGTTTTTCTTGTTTTGATCATCTCAAATTTATCGCCATCGGGTTTCAGCTTTTGAATGCCAATACAACGACAGTAGTGACATTATAAAAGGTGATAAGAGCATGATGAACTTGAAAAGATCAAAACTAACTTAGAAGAAAATAAATATTAATTTTGTGATCTACTATTCGGAATTCAAATGCTCGCAAGTCAAAAGTCTATTCATTTCAAGGGTGGGCGTCCTTACATGGATGATACTTTTCCGTGCACAGATCTTAGAGATGATAAGCAGTATTTTGTAGATCATCCTGGAGCAGTGCCCATAAGTACATCTTAAGTAAGATGGCATCCCCAATCTCTCTGTCCCCTTTGCTATTTTGAGGTCTCAACCATGTGTAATTTCCTTGAAGGGAGAAGAACTCAAGAAACTAATCGGATCTGCTGTGTACATCGAGTGTAGTTCAAAAACTCAGCAGGTACGTATCCCTTTTTTCAACATTTGTAGTGCAATCAGTCATTTATATTGTTTCTCATGATGGCTATGTATTTGAGCAGAATGTGAAGGCCGTATTTGACGCAGCAATTAAGATAGTCCTCCAGCCACCGAAGCAAGTCAAAATAAAAGATGACCAATCTTCTCCAAGGAGAAGTGAGAGACTGTTAAATAGTCTCCACTAACTTATAATGGCTTGTTCAGTGAGGTAAAGTTTATAGTGCCGGATATGTCGGAAAGAAGCTTATTTTTTGTTCAGTCTTTCAGTCTCTTGCGTAACCTAACATACCCTTCGGAGCATTGGGTCATATACTTGGTTCATGGCATGTAGTTTCTTCTACAGCTTTCTTTGATGATACACTTCATTTACTTTTGATGTGTGGTTTGTTTCGAATTGTAGTTATGCATGGTAAAAATGGCAAGGACAGATTCGTTTACATTATGCATCTTTATTTTCAATTAACGAGCATCCTTGCTTTGCAACCAAGTTTACAGCCTTTCATAAAGAGGGTATACATTATGATAATTTTAAACTCAGATCATAACCAATAATTCTTATAATCATCATATTATAATCATCATATTAAATTATTAATAGGCCTGTTTGAGTCACTTACAAACTCTCAATGAAATGTCCACAAAAATTTCAATGCCCGGATGCTATTAAAAGAATATTATCACATGTAATAGCGACAATAAAAAGATTCTCAATACGAGAACCACTGATAGGGGAGGGAGTCTGTTGCCCTGTTCCAAATGAAAAATATCCACTCTCGTGTACCATTTCATTATCTTCATATGCTATATAACATATACCATCTGCTCCTAGATACAGGTGGATCATCATCTCACTATAGCCTCTGAAGAAGCATTATAGAGGCGTCATCTGCAGTGCTGTAGCAGATGCTACTATATAGATGGGCAAACTAACTACCACACCTTCCAAACCGACCTAAAACATCCTCTGACAGCAATGAGCCAACACTTGTGCGAGAACTCAAAATGGGACCACGTAGGGCAATGCACAGATATCAACATCAGGCAAGTATCTAGATTGAGGCCACAATGCCAAGCTGCTAGAACGGGATATAGCATCACTGCTGGATCTGAATCTTTTCTCTGCACACACATCTTTATCCTTGCTCTGGAGCCATTCTTGATCATCGGGATCATTCGCCAAAGGATGCAGCGCATGAGGAACCCAATTCTCGACTAAGTTCTTATACTGTAATTCCAATCTCTTGATTGGAGTCAATGCTGCACTGGCCCCAAATGAAGTTCCCAGTTTGACATCAGCAGCCTCCGTCTGCCTAGAAGCTGAAAAAACCAGCTCATGTTCAGTTCTAGCCGGAACTTCTTGAACAAGGTTATTGGTTCCCTGTGAAGTGGTGCAAACTGTTCCTCGACTAGCTCTGAGAGCAATTTCATCCTTTTGTTGCACAGGAAAATCCATCCTTCCAGATGTAGAGCAAAGCTGTGGCTTATCGAACGAAGTATCGGGTTCATTCTTCTTCCTTGAGGGCAATCGGATCTTGATAATGTTACCTGTTCCTCATCCATAACAACTAAGATAAGGACCAGAGGAAGCTCAAAATATACATCCCTCCTGCAAAAAGAAAAGATAAATTTTGACAATGGGGAAAACAAAACTTACCAAGATTGTTGCTGCCACCTATAGATGAGGTATTCCTCTTCCTCTTGTTGCTGTTCTCTGTGCTGTCCGATGAAGAGCTGGGAATGCGAGAATAGACAGGTTGCTCGTGCTCTTCAGTGAGACTGCTTCTTTCCAACTGTTCAATTTCAGCTTTTCTTCCCTTGTGTAGAAGCCCACCTTTCGAATCCATCCAAATGTTTTCCCCAACATGAGCATTGTCGATATTCTGAGACTTACCAGAGTTCTCATTAGTCTTCTCTTTCTTCTTCTCTCTCTTCTCCTTCCTTCTTTCTTTTTTCTCCCTTCTCTTTTCCTTCTTCCTTTCTTCGTTTGACTTCGCCCTCTCTTTTTGGAGCTTTAGAGCACCAGAATAACAACTTTAGTATTGAGGACTATCAAAGCCTATATGTAACATGTCCGGGGTATGAAACAGAGACCTAAGCATGATTCATTTTGCAATTTAAAGTAGCATTTTTGAAGCTTCGGACTTGGATGCCATGCATCTTCATAACAGAAACTGAGAATCTAGGACGGGCTTTGGTCTTTCCACAACTCAACACAAATATATCTTATTGAACATGGGGTTCCAAGACAAAGCTACAAAGAATGAATCTAGCATTTTACAATTTGAAAAACATCAATCAAGGACGATTTCTTACTCTAGTTTCTGGGAGTTTATAAAACATCTATCTAAAGCAGTCGTGTGCCATCAAAATTATAAATGACCATGGGTTCCATAGAATAATAATCCAAAAAATTTAAAAAAAATAAAAAGCTTCCCGTGACTCCTTTAAACAAAAAAAAAAAAAGAGACGAGCACAATCTCTTAGTCAAAAGTCGATAAAACACTATAACCTTGTTTGAGCCTCATTTTTATCAAAAATGAATTTTTGAATAGTGTATTGATGAGAAATGTGTGGTTAGAAAATAAGGAAACAACTTGAATTTACGTGTAATTTTATTTTACAGAAGGATGTGTGATTGAAATGAAGTCAAAACATTATTCAAGAATGTGAATGCATTTTTTTCAAAAAATGGGACTCAAACAAGGGCATACAAAGTGAACTATTTTTACTAGTTCAAAATAAAAATAATGGATAAATAAATTAATAGATTTGAGTAATAAAAGGAATTCAAAAAAATTTCTTTCTCGAAAGCATAAGCTCCTTTCCAGAGAACATAAAAATAGAGGACTAAAATTTGATAAACTGACAGACCTTGATCAGAAAAAGGCTGATTAAGCCACCATCTAAAACCATAATCCATTAAGAAAAATGAAAAAGTCAGATGGCAGGGTCCCTTGATCTTGTAACAAATTTTAACTGGATTTCTATCAGCTGCTTAGTGAAAGAAATTTATCAAAACCAAGACAAGTAATGGCATTGGCAAGTCCAAAACCTGTAGCATTAACTTCAAAAACTTCACCAGCATAAAATTGTCACATGCTTCAAAAAACATAGCATACCAGTTCTGAATATACTAATATGGTCCTCAAGTGCATTGAACAATTTTCGTATTTTTGTCATCATGTAATAAAGACCTTATATGGGTTCAAAAACTAACAAACTCGTCAAGCCTACAAAATAACACCCAACATACCATTATTTGTTCAACAAATATTTTACTTCATAGGAAAATACATTACAGATAACTTGCCAATACTAAAAAGGAAACAGCATCTCCAATCCATAATCTCATTAGCATAGTCTATCTGAAAGGCATGTCCAACTTTCCACACCTCATCATAACAGTTCCTCACCACACACCAAATCTCTTTTGGCAGAAAAACCTTAAAACCAAACACCAGACAAATCCTGAACCAATCTTAAAGTTTCTTTTAAGTTGTTTCATGTGCTCAAGGAATTTCTTTATATGAGTAATTTTATTTATACTAGATGTTACCTATTTTTTTCTATTGCTACTCAGAAATCTAAGCCATTGGTTAATTCAAATTACATGCATTCCAATATTACTCTATCTTCCACACAGTGTAAGTAGGAGAATCACCATTCAGATCCAACATACAATGCTTCTTGGAACCAAAAATTCTTACTACTGGAGCAATAAGATCTCCACATACCAATGTCCAACACATAGATGGAACAATCACCTTATTACCCAACCATTCACAAACTAAATATTTCAACCTCATCATTTTCAAAGGGGTTTTCAAGATTCAATTCCCAACCACACAGCAAATATCTTTTTCCACAGATAAACCTTATAAACCAAACGCCAGACAAATACTGAATCAATCTTAAGTTTCTTCATGTCATTTCGAGTGCTCTTTCTAATCCAACATACAGCATTTCTTGGAACCAAATATTCTTACTCCCGGAGCAATAAGATGTTAACTTATCAAAGTTAACAAAAATAAGATGTGATAATCACCTTAATACCCAATTGTTCACAAACAAACATTACAACCTTTCCATTTTCATATGGGTTTTTCAGTTCATACGCTGAAAATCCTTTATCAACATCCATTGATATCAGCTACAAAAACCATATCAACTTCAGAACCACCCAAATCAGTATCCATCAACATAGGCTACAAAAACCACATCAATTAAAAAATGATAAATATGAACACCGGATTTGGCTTTGGGATTCATTTTATATATCAAAAAAATCATATAAAGGAGCATTAGCTACAAAATCCCACATCATGGTGCATACAGATTTAAAACTTGACTTGCAAAAAAATCTATTAATAAAACTAATACTAAATTGTACACCTAAACAAAAGCGGCCCAATACCGATTGTGGTTTATTTACATGTCGGAGTCATACATAAAGAAACCCACAAAATTACATCGATGAGAACCCATGCTCATACATAAACCCATTCAAATCAATCGACGTTCAGTGTTTGTTAAACAAACCTTAATCAATTCGATCAAGGCCTCATTGCTGGCTCTGCTCAGTGAATACCCTGGTGGTGGGTAAGGAAAGCACCGAGACATATTTTCAAGATCGAATTGAAGATTTCCCGAGAAAAGGAAAAGAAATCCAGTAATCGATGAATAAATAGGGGTACGAGTTCAGATCTACAAAACACGCGCTAGTCAATGATTTATATAATGAATTTCCGTAGATTTTTCAGAACCTTAGGGTTAGGGTTTCGTCGACCCAAAGTTGACCTCGAGAACGCGAAAACAATATAGCAATTCGCCATGGCCTTGCTTTGAGGGTATATATAGAAGGAATATGGCCGACTTAACGCTGCTGTATTTTGACCTAAATACCCTTTACCCATATTCAATTCAATGTATCAAGTCATTTCTTATTGCAACAAATTACGCATTGGTCCCCAACTTATTAATATGTTTCAGTGTAGTGCCTAACCTTTTCTTCTCTTTTTATTATCGCAATATAATTCCAAACTTTTGTGTTTTGGTACATCATTAGTCTCATCGACTGATTATATCGTATTAATAATTAAATATGAAAAGGAAAAGGCTTATCCATTGCCATATCAAATTAATAACTTGAAAATTTTGTAAGAATCAAACAACGGAATTAATTCTTTTGAACATTATGTTTTGTCAAGTGCCATAATTATTAAGTACAAATTAAAGATTTTATTTGAAGTAAATAAACTAGTGATACAATTGAATATGATTAAACCAAAATGTTAAAAGTGAAATATCTTATCCCGGTTTAAATCGTTTGACGTTCATGAGCCTTTCAAACAAGTTAGGACAAATGTGTTATATGGAATATATCCCATAACCCCAAATTTTGGTATTTTGAAAATGTGGTAAACATAATTCAACATCGATGTTGTATGTACAAGTTAGAAGTATAATTGGTGTGGTTAAGCTATGTGGGTATGAGTAACTATACATCATATACAACTCTACAGGTAAGTACCCTTGCTTTTAACCTAAAGTCAAAAATGGCTTCCTGAGTTCGTTCTTTTAATTTCTACCAACCATATTGCACCTAAAATATGATAGAGCATCTTGGATTTTTTTGGTAATTAAGTTCTTATATGATACAACAATCAGTAATCATAGAGTGAAAGGAATGGCACAATGATGCAAACACCCTTTTTCAGCTGGACTATTGATCGATTGACTGGTCCTTATGTGTTTTTAAAATGGTGCAAAGTCGTGTTTCTAAATTGATGAAAGTCGTGTTTTATCTTACCTTTAAATGGACGCTCAAGATGTCGCCAAGTGTAATCTGCACGACAGTTGGATGAGGACCTTTTGGGTGACTCTTATAAAAGGCTTTCTAGGGTTTGCACTGTACATTAACTTCTGATATTTTTCTCTCTCACTCTCTACGCTGTTCAAGTTTTATACTCTCTTTCTCTCTGGAAATCAAAAACTCTCTTTTTGATTTTGGTTACTCTCACAATATTGTAATCTTAAGGGATTTTTACTTGTGATGAGTGTTGTGTTCTTGTGTGAACAATTGTTCTTGAGTGAGCTAAGTACTGTGATTTTACGGGTTTAGTCTCAGTGTCGAAAACCTATCATTTTACCCTGGTTGTATTTCATTCAAACTGTGGCTATTTTCTCAGTGACTGAGGTACTAGTGTTTGGGTTATTGCCTTAGGGCAACTATTAATGAATTTCTCCTTTACAGTTTGTTTTGTTCCTTTTTTGTTTATGTTTTTGTTGTTCTTGAGCTAAACAGTTCTTGAATCTCCTCGTAACAGTGGTATCAGAGCGTTTAACGGAGTTTCTTGACTCTGTTTCTGGTAGATCTGAAAGCTGTGATACTTCTTGGAGCTACTCTTCGTTATTTCTTGATACCCTAATAAGGGGATCTGGTGAGATCGTTTTTTGTTTTACGGTTTAAAGTACAAATTAAGTGTTTATACTCTTTATAATTCCTTGAAACCTAATCGTTTTTCAGCACTAGTGTTTTGAAAACCTGATCCCGGACTATCTTGATAATTTCTTTATCCAGAAACCCTGAGAGTTGTCTGGATCTGAAAGTTACCTTGAACTCAGTCAAGGATCTTGATAATATTTCACCTTGAACTCAGTCAAGGATCTTGATAATATTTCTCTGCTGCGATCTTTATTGTAGTATAATACATCCTTGTTGAATTTTGTGCATGATTTGTGTTAAATATAACACTGTGATCGTATTGTTGTGAACAACTTGCTTCTCTGTGAAATAATTGAAGTTCTTTCATAACATGCAACTACTGTACATTCTGTATATCTCTTGCGTGGTGATACTTGGTTTATTCTACATTGCAAGTGTCTGTATAGTGTCTCTCTTATCTGCATGTACTTCACTACATTCAAATTTTCTTTAAATGACTAACTCAAAATTTGAATTGGAAGTTTTTAATGGCAAATGAGACTTTAGTCTCTGATGCCAAAAAATGAAAACTCTTTTATGACAACAAAAATGTGCTAAAGTCATTGACGAATCATGACCAACCGATCTTGAAACAAGTAAAGTAACTGAACAAGATGAAACTGCATGAAGCTCTAACTTTTTGCATCTGTTTGATAATGTACTTAGAGAAATTGGAGAAACTAAGATTGCTGCTGAATTGTGGAAGAAATTGAAAACCACTTATTTGAACAAAACCATGCCAAATAAAGCCTTATCTTTTGAAACGATTCTTTGGTTTTAAACTGGACTCATCTCTTAACCTTGAAACAAATATTGATAGATTCAACAGATTATCTCATGACCTAGCCAACTGTGATGAGAAACTCTCAAGTGGACAGCTAGCTGTGGTTTTATTAAATTCAATTGGTGATAAATATAAAGATGTTAAAAATGCAATTGAATATGGTAGAGAAACTCTATCAACTGAATTGATCATTAATGCTTTAAGATCTAAGGAGTTAGAGTTAAAATCTGAAAATAGAGAATCTGCCAGTGGCATAATATTAATGATGAAGTCTAAGTTCAATCCTAAAAATGTCAACTTTAACAAGAAATCTGGACACAAGAAGAAGGGAAATTTTAGAGATAAAATGAAAATTAAGAGAGAAGGTAAAAAATGTTTCTATTGTCTTGAAGATTGTCATTTTATCAATGATTGTCCTAAAAGGCTTTATGAGTTGAAAAACAAATCTAAAGATGATGGTGGTGCAGCCTTAGCTTATAATGAAAGCAACATTGATGAAGTCTATGTTGCTGTAAGCAGTCCACCTTGTCAAGAATGAATTCTTGATTCTGGCTGCACCTACCATATGTGTCCAAATAAAGAATGGTTTACAGATTTTGAAAATGTGATTGATGGTAAGGTTTTAATGGGTAATCACATGATATGTCAAGTAAAAAGAATATGAACTATCTCTTTAAATATAAAGGGTAATTACAAACTGGTTCTTGAAAAAACTAATTATGTTCCTAATTTGCAAATAAATCTTATTCCCTTGAGGGTTTTAGATGACCTTAACGATGACATTTTGATTAACAAGTGATACATTAAAATCCTAAGGGGCTCTCACCTGATTGTTGAAGCTCCTATGAGACATGGCCTGTACATTTTACAAACTAAAAATTTTTATGATTCCAATTCAGCAGCAATCTCATTTCAAAATGACAAGTCACAAATATGGCATAAAAGGTTACGCCATATTAGTGATAAAAGACTGCAGATTTTGAGAAAACAGGGTGCTTTCAGAAAATATAATATTGAAAAACCCAGTTTTTGTGATTATTGCATTTTAAGAAAGCATAATAGATTACATTTTCTACCTGGAATGCACAAATCTATGTCTGTACTTGAATATTTGCATGTTGATCTTTGGGGACGAGCTTCTGTTTCTACAAATATTGGTTTTAAATATTACTTGTTGGTCATAGATGATTTTTCGAGAAAAAAATGGAATTTTCTTTTAAAATCAAAATCTGACACATTTAATATTTTCAAAAAATGGAAAGTTTTGATAGAAAATCAAACTGATAAAAGGATTAAAGTCCTAAGAACAGATAATTGTTTGAAATTCTGTAATTTTGAATTTGATGAGTTGTGCAAATTATCAGGCATGTTAAGACACAGAACCGTGACACACACTGCACAACAAAATGGCTTGGCTGAAAGGATGAATAGAACTATTCTTGAAAAAGTGAGATGTATACTTTTAAGTTCTGGCCTGCCTAAGATATTTTGGGATGAAGCTGTTAAAACTGCAAGTTATCTTATTAATAGATGCCCTTCTAGTGCTATAAACGTTTAAACTCCTGAAGAAATGTGGAAAAGGAAACATGTTGACTTCAGTAACTTGAGGATTTTTGGATGTGCAGCCTTTGCACATCAATCTGAAGGCAAGTTAGAACCTAGGGCCCTTAAGTGTGTATTCTTAAGGTATGGTGAAGGGGTTAAAAGGTATAGACTATAGGTCAAGAAAATCAAAAGGCTACAAGATCATAATTAGTAGAAATGTTGTTTTTAATGAAGATGATCTCCCTGTTTTAAAACTAATAGTCGACTGAGTCTTTTGAACTGATTGAAAATGTGAAAAGCGGGATTGAAATTGAGGTGGAGCAGTCTGATGATGAAACTCATCAACTGCAACATATCCTGTGGAGAGAAATGAGGAAACATTTGTTGATAATGTTCATGTTGATGAACCTGAAGCTGTTTCAGAAACAGATCGGTCATTAGATAATTATCAACTTGCTAGAGATAGGAAAAGAAGACATATTAGACCTCATGTTAGGTTTGAAGAGAGTGTTTATTTGTTGTCCTATCAAAGTACGATTGAGGAAGAGTCTGAGTCTTTTGAAGATGCTATAAATAGTAAAGACTCTAAACAATGGCTTGCAGCCATGCAAGATGAAATGTAATTACTTAAAGGGAATAAAACTTGGATTTTGGTCAAAATACTTGAAGGAAAAGAAATTGTTGATTGTAAATGGATTTTCAAAATTAAAAGAGGTGAACAAAGTGAGAATGACATTAGATATAGCTAGACTTGTGGCAAAGGATTTTACCCAAAAAGAAGAAGTTGATTTCAATGAAATCTTCTCA